TTCGATTGGATTTTAGTCAGTGTTCATGCTTTCTTGGCTGGCTAGCCTGAGCCGAATGCTAAAGTAAGGTTTTCTGATCCAAAATCATCCTGCTGTGAACTTACATATTTCCATCTCCTTCCTCCAGTACCACTGGGGCAATTTGAACCAAATTCTTGGATGAAGGGGATTTAAATTTGTTCAAATGAAATGAACGCCGCTCCTCTCCTAGCAGAGATGATAAAGAAATTTGAAAATTTAATGTTATCTTTTAAAAATGTTATTCATAAGAATCACTAGGACAAAAAATTTAATCTTAAGAGAACTCTGTACGAATTTCAAAATAATTATGGAGGGTTCGATTCCAAAGGATTTAAAAAATAACTTTCATAATGATTGAAATTCCAGAAAAGAGGACAGCTTCTTGTTTCTGGTAAAAAAAAGGTAATCTCCGTTAGAATCTCTTTAAGAAATATCGTTGAATAATTGGAACTAAAACATGCCTTTGATTCTTTTTTTCTTATTACATGTAAATAATGATATCATTCGAAAGCCCTCGTAAGAATTAATATCAATCGTATATACCTTTTATGCCTCGCCATGATCTGGCCGGGCGTATACAGTGGACCTTCAGATATCCGGACGCCAGATATCCGGATGCTTCAGTATCCGGACCACTTTTCTCATCGGAACGGATATTTTAAGCGTTATTTTGTCTTATCTAACTGGTAATTCAGGTATCCGGACGCTTCACATATCCGGACAATTTAATTAACTACCGGGTAGGAACTACAGCGTCCGGATAAACGAGGCTCCACTGTATATGTATATTTGCTATGTCTGTCTTCCGACACTTAACGATATAGCTCATATGCTTAGAACTGTCCATTTGAATGTGAAATGAAAAAAAAAATGTTGATAGTGTGTTGACATTTACTTCCATTTTATATTTCATGCATTTCCATTAAGGATGCTCACCCATCAGTAAGGACGGATAACTCTGTAAATTATCATGTTTATCCGAATATTTAATTACTACTGGGTAGTGCAATATTTTTTTGCAACAAATTTTGTTATATATTTTGAATATGAGTTGTAACATTTTTAAACCCTCGTGAAAAATATGAAAAAGGTAATATTGAAAGAAAACACAGTTGGTATTTTTGACAGAAATGCATTCCTTTAAAACCTGCTTTTGTAGTCATATGTTTAAAAATGAATATTATTAATTCGTAAATTAATGGAAGAGTGCAATGCAAAGTACAAGTATTGATTGGCAGAGGGATTTAGAAGCCTATTTTGATTTGTAATCAAATATCTGTGAAACTCTGCCCAATTTGTGTTTACTAATACATGTATATTAATTAATGTTGTACAGAGCTAAGTTATGCAATTATGTAAAACTGTCAAAGTCGAAATAATATATTGTAAAAGGTATCAATAATAAAAACTCTATATACATTTAATAAAAAGAAAAGGACAAAATACCCTGTTGTCGGAATGTGTAGTTTCTCCAAAACTCAGTTCTGATTGGGACATAAAAGTTACTTTCTTTTTGTCTCGTTCTGTATCCAACTCCTCATGTTTTCCAACAAAGCTTTCTCTATGTACTGCTTTAATTAATCTGGTGATCACTAGTTATAGGGGAGTCGGTCAAATAAGTTTTTTTTCCGTGAATCAAAGTACAAAATAATTTAAAAGCAATTTTTTGTTCTGTAATTGGAAAACTGAAGAAAAAATGAAATCTTTAAGCCAAGCCCACTTTTAACGCCTTGTGAATATAGTTGTATTTAGAAAAGGGACTCCAATAAACGTTATACATATATTCTGTAAATCACTTTTGATTCGCGAGAACTTTATTTTCACGTAATTTCGCGAGACAGTGTGCTAGCCAAAATTAAATTCTCGCGTTTAATAGCATTTCTTAAGATTATATAGAGCAATAACCACAATTCGTGAAAATGTTGTCTCGCTTATCAAGACTCAATGACTATCTAGCGAAAATAAGGTGTCGCAAAAATTTAGTGATCTACAGTGTTATAAATAAATAAAATAACAGAAGCCTAAAGAGAGGTTTCTACCTAGACTCAAAATACTGGTTTTGACCATACACGCTATCTCCCCTTACCCAGCTGAAATTGCTTCCTACGAGCCAGAGACCCGTTATACAAAAGAAATATCGACTAAAATCTCAAATTTAACTTGACTGCAAATTCTTGAAGATTCTAAGATTCTTTTGTTTGCATGAAAATACCTTTTAAAAAATAATTTAAAAAGTTATTTGCAAAATTATATTTCCTTTAAAGTCGTTCGTAAAACTGGATCCTGGTGTATTTTAAAAATTCGTTAATTGTACAAACCTCAAAGAGTCAAGGCATGTAAAAAAAAAAAGATATCATTTTCATGGACTTTTCTCTGTGAATCTATGTTTGAAGGGGCCGGCGGACACCACCCTAGAATCCCCCTCCCCTTTCAAAAATTGCAAGTAGTGGGAAAAAAAGTAGTGGATTACTTTCAAATGAAACATATGGAGATAACGAACAGTATTCAAGATCAAATTCCATTAAAAAATACAAAATAGGAGCAGAGCAAACACGGACCTCCGAAACATCAGAGGTGGGATCAGGTGCCATGGAGGAGTAAGCATCCCCTGCCGACCGGTCACACCCGCTGTGTGCTCCTTGTCATGATCCATGAAATCGGGAAATAACGGAAAAATCCGTCGTCAATTCAGTGTATAAATGATGGACTAACAATTAGTATGAAAAACGTCAGTCAGCATTTGACTCAATGATAAATTGTATTTGCTGAGAAGATCATTGTATCGACCATAGAACTTACGAAATTATGACTTTAAACGAGACTGTTGATATCCTTGTGTTTTTTTTTTATAACTTATCTCTTTTTAGAAATTGTTCATACGTAGAGCATGCTCTTACATATCGAATCAACTGAGATATATAAACTCCGTATGCAGATGATGAAGGTATACTGCTGTATAAGTAAGGGAAGTTGACGATAGAAAAGTTAAAGTCATCACGTTTATCACAGATATGGCACGCCAAATTCACAAAAATGGGCTAACATAGTTTCACAGTTGATAAACTAGGTTTATCGACTGTAAACTATAGTTTACAAACAGTGAACTATAGTTAACAATTCGTTAACTATAGTTTTCGTCTGTAAAACTATATTTAACGGTTGTTAAGAGTTGTATTGTAAACCATAGTTTACAAATCGTGAAACTGTATTTATCAGATAATCTATGTTTTGCAATCGCAAATGATTGTTTTTGGACAGTGTTAAGTATAAGTTTACGGTTCTGAAACATAGATTATCGCGTTAACTATGGTTTACAGATTTAAAATATAGATTAACGTCGTTAACTATAGTTTACAGCCCGTAAACTATAGTTTATAATCGATAATTCTAGTTTATCGACTATGAAACTGTTTAGCTCATTTTTGTGAATTTGGCGTGCCATACATAGAGTTTGGTTAATTAGATTACCAGTAACGTCTTTTTCGAGTAAAATATCCCAAATATGAAACAGATGTGTCTGACTCCGTGGAATTTTTTATCTCAAGCCCACCGGCATATATCGTATCAACATAAGAATGGAAATAACCATTGTTAATTGACAATATACGTCGTCGTCGATGTATCTAAATGTCGAGTTGAAGGCCACAGCAAGTGTCACCGTTTTCTAGGGGGTCCAAGGTCACTTTTACATGGTTTACTTGGTTTAGTATATACATTTAAATAACTCTGCAAATTTCAGGGAGGGGGGGGGCTCGAGATCCCCGCATGATCGGATACCATTCTAAGAGCAAAGGAAGGTATAAACTACAAGAAATAATACCAGAGGTGAGCGACTCAAAAAAAAATCGGCGGCATAAATCGGTTTTTGCAATGCATGGATCTGTAGCTCTCTGCTTTATCTCTCCGAATTTTCTCAAGCAGAGAGTACAATTTTGTGCAGAGCTACAGCAACGTCCCTGTTGAAAGGGGAGGGGTGTAAAAATACACACCAGTCGTCTTCAATGCCTATAAATTATATGTCTTCTTTGCAAAAAATTTTGAGGGGCCCAAATATGGTTAGTACACCGTAGGCATCGGAACCGGGGAGTGGATGGGTATAGGGAAGATGACTACGAATGAGTAAAAAAAATAATGGCATCTTTTTAAAATCTTCACGGGAATCGCTGTGCCAAGAAAGATGAACCTCGTATGGAATTATTGTCAGGTTTTGTAGATTCAAATTTGCTCAAATCACTGACCCGGGGGGTAAAGTGGTACCACAATGCAAGTTTTACCTTGGAATATAGGTCTAACGTTATATTTAGATTTAAAAATAAAACCTTCTTCTTTAGAATGATTTAAGGGGTTGTACTGTACAATTCATTTAAACTTGTCGATGCGGAACTGATTTTATTTGCTTTTATCCTAGCCACAGTACTAGCCACAGTGTCACGGGTTCGAATCCCACTGTGGGACGTGTAGACTGGTCCTTCGGATGAGACCTACAATTACAGCAAACCGGTCCCGTGACCGTGTCGCAGTTGGTGCTGGCACGAAAAAGAACCCTCCCTGCTCAATGGCCGTAAGTGCCGAATATAGGGCAAAATTTACAGCTCTCCACCGGAAACTGGTGGTGTCTCCATATGAGCGAAAAATTCTTGAGAGGGGCGTTAAACAACATACGATCAATAAATCAATCCTAGCCACAGCAAGTATACGTGTGCTCATACGGTGTGAGCGATGTGGCCCATGGTCATAAGCATCTTGTTCCTTTTTTAAATTTCCTCAGTCTGATTAAAATCAGCTCTTCTGATACTCTTTTGTTTACTGGCGGAGAACATAGTAAACGTAACCCATTAAACAGACGATTTACATTAGATTGAGTTTTTTCTTCCAATCAACCGTTTCTTGAGCAATAAGAGTTCTCTCTCTTTGTTGATCATCTTACCGCCGAAACGAAACATCATTTTTTCAAAATCATGTGATTGACCACGTGATTCTTATCAGTTCAAAATGGCAGAGGGGTCAAATCGTGGCAATTTGGATGATTTGACCAATCCGATGTCGTCAAAAGAAAACAGTGTTTACAACTTTGTACAAACGACGCAAAAACACACAGAAAACACAGCACGTGATACAAACAACCCCGGGCCAGCTATGGAGATCGGCCCATTTGTCAGTGCTGAGGTCGATAAGGCAGAAGATAGTTATAATGTAGAAACGTCAAATCATCTGTGGCCGAGGGAGGCGGAGCGTGACGATTTATTGTTTCAAGATAGTGACAGCGAAAACGAATTTATATGGGATAGTGCACGTGATTCTACGATGCCTAAACTCGATTTACTGGAAGATGCACAACAGGAAATCCCCCCGACAGAAATAGGTGATGAAAGAGTCATTGGAAACGATGTTGATTCTAGGGAAAGTGACAGACTGCTGTCCACGTATTCTGATGGACTTTATAGTGAATATAATGGTCATCAGAATGGAACTATGATTCCAATGGAGGAGGAGGACGCGATGTGGCACTGTCACCAGGACACACCTGCGCAGGTGGATAGGGTGGCCAGGAATCAGCTGATTGCTATCAGTGTTATCTGTGTTATCTTCATGATAGGGGAAATTATCGGTAGGTTGTATTGTTATACTGAATGCGTATAAGCTAGGATAGACTGTCCTGTTACAACAATTATTCTTGTTGATATTTTTGTAATTAACATCATATGCAAATAATTTAAATAACTTATAATGCAAAAGTTGAATTTCATCAGAATTAATAATCATTCTTATGTTTTTTAAATAATAAATGTGTAAATATTATTATGTAACAATATAGTGAGAGGTACATGTATGTTCACTTAATTTATTTGTGCTGTTCATAAAATGTTTCAAAGAAAAGCTTGCCCATGCAGACAGTACTTTGTGGTCATGGCCTTAGGCTAGACACTCATGATTGACAAAGTGAAACACATATTTTTTGTGGCAATGCAAGATTAATATAATATCATATGGCACATGTAGGTAAATTTTGCCAAAAATGGAAGAATTCATTTAAATTAGCTCAATCTGACTGCCATGCAACATTTATTCTTAGAAAATAATATTGTCATCATAGTAATGAATATAAATATTATGGTATTTATAATAAATAAAGGTAGGAACTAATTCCACGTAAATAGACTACAGCACATTTGGCTGCTGAGAATTTTGGCCCTTATTATTATCATAATAACACTTAAAGTAAACCACCATTTTCTGTGAAGGTTTTGCTCCACTTCTAGGTGGTGTGTTCTCACACAGTGTTGCTTTGTTTACTGATGTTGCTCACCTGGCTAGTGATCTCATTAGCTTCCTCATCAGCTTATTGGCTCTCTACCTCTCAACAAAACCAGCTTCAAAGAAGATGTCCATGGGATACTACAGAATAGGTAGGTTCAGGTAATAGTATTGTTGGAGACCTAGAGTTTTCTGTCAAGGGTCAACTTGACCTAGTCTTGTGATTGACACATCATTTATAGTCAGTGACCTTGACATTCATCCACTGTAAACTTGTACACATTCCTTCAAAAAGATTCCTAGATTAGTTTATTAGAAATTCAGCTTAAATTGATACTTTGAATCAGCAGTCTGTGCAAAATGTGCGAAACAGAGGAGTGGTATTTGGGGAAAGAACTTTGCAATATTTTTATTCCTGTAGTAATTTAGTTTTTTTTTCCCTACAGAGGTACTAGGAGCACTGATCAGCATTTTGATGATTTGGTTGGTGACGGGGGTACTGTGTTACACAGCGGGTAAGAGGATTGTGACAGGAGACTACACTTCTGTAGAGCCCACCTACATGCTGGCTACTGCCGTATCAGGAGTTATATTTAATGTCATGTAAGTATAGACAACTGCACAGATGTGATATATTTTCGCATCTGAATAATCTCTTATTCATTATGGCATATTCACAAAAGATCCATTTTGATCTCTTTATGATTACCTGTTATATGTTTCATAAATTTTCTTAGTCAATGAAACATTCTGTGAATTTTATTAAGATTCCTTTAGATAATGCAATAAGATTTCTATTTGGTTGTTGTTTACTTAACATTTCCAAAAAAATATTTCTCTTACTGGGAGCCATAAGTTGCTTTTGAATGTTTCAAATAGGCACTTGTGGCTATTTTGTGGTGAGGGTTCAACCAGATCTTTTTTCCATTGCATTAACGCAACAGGCAACTTTGGATTATTTCTAATACAGGATCTCGTTCAAAGCACAGTTTGCCACATCTCAGAGTTGAATTTGAATCCTACAAGGATAAATAAGGTTCATCTTTAAATCTAGGAATCCTAGAAATAAAGATGAACCTTATTTGTAGCTCTAAAATGAAACTATACGTTATTGGACTCAAAGTTACATGTCACTGTATATGCATGACATAAAAACAAATCAATCTATTATGGAGAATCTGTCTTTTTCATTTTTTTTCTGAAATTGGTGTGTTTCTAGAGTTTAAGACAGTTGGTTTAGACTTTTTTCTATGAGTTGGCAGTGAAAATACCAAGCTAAAATTGCCTTTAGCTGTTTTTGCTTTAAAAATACTTAAGAAAATTAATTGTTTTTGGATGTCTCTCTGTATCAATTGAGAGCTGGTTTCACCATGATGTTGAATGATATTCACTGAATAAAATTCTTATGTATTTAAGATAACAAAGTCAGTTGATTTTAAATTGGTTTCCATGCAATAGAAAGTGTTTGTATTGGATTGTTTGAAAACACAGGATTGAAAGGTGTGGCTTTCGTTGTTGAAAATTGTTTTAAACTTGCATTAAAGAATGTGAGAATTACCTGGATGTTTTTTTAATCATTTCTACAATGTTAGGTTGGTTTGAGAAAAAGCTCCCCAGACCCCAGTCTTCCTGGAGTTGCTATAGGGAGTTAGAGAAAATAGTTATTTAATATTAACATTCATTTTATTCTGAAATGAGCTGACTATTCTTCCTCGATACAGAAATATATATATATATAAAATCCAAATTCAAATGATAAACTCAAACTTTTATCTAAAGCGCTTTCGCCCCATGCGGGCTCATCAGTAGATTTGAAATTGTAAACAAGTTACATTATGACGTCATTCTCGTGACGTTATGTAGGCAACGTTAAACATAATGACTGTGACGTAATAGTAATCACAGTTAAATGAGGCGCACAGATAAAGTTTTACAGTTCATCTGATCAAAGTTAAGCGCCTATTATAAATGTACAATAATGGAGACATTTTATATAAAATGTACATAATAAAATAATTTGATATAAATTCCTTTTAACAGTTCAATTTTGGTTTAAACAGATTTATAAAATATTGTTCTTTGGCTTTCCGTGTTCATTTTCTTCTTTTATTTGTAAAAAGGAAATATATAAAAATGTCCTTTGCCACAAGAATCAAAGTGTTCACTACATGGCGTGTTTCGTATGGTCGGATCCTTAATCTGTTGTTTGTGCACGCGAACACGGTCGGCTAATTTGGTTCCGGTTTGTCCTATATAATTTTCCTCACATGTAGGACACGTCATACAGTATATAAGGTTTTTAGATTTACACGTCATAGAAGATTTAACGTCAAACTTCATTCCGTTTTTAAAAATAATGGTTTGTCCGGTTTTTAAAACTTGACAGGTTCCGCATCGTGGATCCTCGCACTTAGAAACCATCGGTTTCTCGGGGTTCGATGTAAATTTGGCAGTGGTAAGAATCTTTTTCAAATTGGGAGGTTGACGCCTGCTGTGTAGTATATCCTTTGGTTTAATAAGGTCCCTTAATGTTTCTGATTGTTGAATAATAGGGAAAAATTGTTTGGCAGTTTTAAAGATGTTGTGATTTCTTGGGTTGTGGGTTAGAACAAAAGGGATCTTTTCGTTGTTCTCCTCTTCGTGATGTCTAATAGTACGTAATTCGTTAATGGGTATCGCCTTTGATAAAGCTTTATTAATTTTGATGGTATTTTTGTCTAGAAAGAAAAATTCTTAGTTTACACAGTCTTGTATTTCTGCGATCTTATCAATAACAATAGTGCAAATTCGCCTGGCCATATTGAATGGGATGTCTCGTTTAGTATGGGAGGGATGGCATGAGTTGAAAATCAAATATTGATGGGAGTCTGTGCTCTTGTAATAGAGATCCGTTATGATTCTTTCTTCCCTCTTTTATAATAAGAATGTCTAAAAATGGCAATTTGTTTTCACTGATTTCCATTGGGAACTGATATTTTTCATGGAGCCGATTTAGAATGCTGTTAAACTGTTGTAGATCTTGTAGTAATTCTCTTGTTGAAAAAATAAAACAGTCATCTAAATAACGTTTCCAGTTTCTTTCAATGTATGTACCAAAATCCTCTCCAAAAAATGTTTTGCATTCTAAAAAAGTTTTTCCTCCAGAAAAACTAGAACGAGAGTTGCGTAGGTAGGGGCGACTTTTGTCCCCATTGCTGTCCCTTTTGTTTGTAGATAGTACTTGTCATCAAAAAAGAAATGATTATTTTGCAAAACTATTTTAAGTCCTTCGAGGATAAATTCTTTTGAAAATCTCGGCTGGATTAAATCTGGGTGCTTGTCAATCCAAAAGGAGATGGCTTCTAGTCCTAAATTGTGGGGAATATTTGTATATAAACTAGTAACATCAAAACTCACTAATTTCGTATTTTCTTCAACACTTTCTGGAATATGGTTGAGAAAATCCATGTCGTCCCGAATAAAACTGGGTACTTATTTGCAGAAAGGTTTTAGTATAATATCTAGCAAATTGCTAAGTCTCTGTGTTGGACAAGAAGGACCAGCTACAATAGGGCGTAGTTTTAAGTCTGTTGGACGTGGCAATTTAATATAAGGTTAACTCATTTCCTGTATTCCGTTTTGAATTTGTTTAGATTTATGAATTTTCGGTAATCCGTAAAAGTTACTAGTTTTTACTTCAAAATTGAGAAGAAAATCTATCTCCTTTTTGGTTAAATTATCGGAAAATTTTGAAGTATATTTTTTCATTGTAGACATCGTCTTCTTGTCTTTATTCGAAGGTAGTTCCTTGTAAAAGTTTATATCATCTAGTTGTTCTAGGACCATATCTTTGTAGTGTTCTTTGTCCATAATAACAATAGTTCCTCCTTTGTCAGCCTCTTTTATGATAATAGTATCGTCACCAGTAATATTTTTCAGTGCTGTTCTCTCAATTTTTGAGATGTTATCTTGCACACGGATATCGCTGTGATTGTTGTATGCAGATTTTTTCAAACAATTAATGTAATCGTCCAAGTGTTTGTCCCTGTTTGATTTTGGTTTAAAATTACTTTTGTTTCGAACTAAGGATTCGTCATTGTAATCCGAAGGCTGACAAAGGAGGAACTATTGTTATTATGGACAAAGAACACTACAAAGATATGGTCCTAGAACAACTAGATGATATAAACTTTACAAGGAACTACCTTTGAATGAAGACAAGAAGACGATGTCTACAATGAAAAAAATATACTTCAAAATTTTCCGATAATTTAACCAAAAAGGAGATAGATTTTCTTCTAAATTTTGAAGTAAAAACTAGTAACTTTTACGGATTACAGAAAATTCATAAATCTAAACAAATTCAAAACGGAATACAGGAAATGAGTGAACCTTATATTAAATTGCCACGTCCAAGAGACTTAAAAACTACGCCCTATTGTAGCTGGTCCTTCTTGTCCAACACAGAGACTTAGCAATTTGCTAGATATTATACTAAAACCTTTCTGCAAATAAGTACCAGTTATTCGGACGACATGGATTTTCTCAACCATATTCCAGAAAGTGTTGAAGAAAATACGAAATTAGTGAGTTTTGATGTTACTAGTTTATATACAAATATTCCCCACAATTTAGGGCTAGAAGCCATCTCCTTTTGGATTGACAAGCACCCAGATGTAATCCAGCCGAGATTTTCAAAAGAATTTATCCTCGAGGACTTAAAATAGTTTTGCAAAATAATCATTTCTTTTTGATGACAAGTACTATCTACAAACAAAAGGGACAGCAATGGGGACAAAAGTTCGCCCCTACCTACGCAACTCTCGTTCTAGGTTTTCTGGAGGAAAAACTTTTTTCAGAATCAAAACATTTTGGAGAGGATTTTGGTACATACATTGAAAGAAACTGGAAACGTTATTTAGATGGACTGTTTTATTTTTGGACGAAAATCTCTACAAGTCTACAACAGTTTAACAGCATTCTAAATCGGCTCCATGAAAGTATGCATTTTTCAATGGAAATCAGTGAAAACAAATTGCCATTTTTAGACATTCTTATTATAAAAGAGGGAAGAAAAATCATAACTGATCTCTATTACAAGAGCACAAGACTGCCATCAATATTTGATTTTCAACTCAGTGCCATCCCTCCCATACTAAACGAAACATCCCATTCAATATGGCCAGGCGAATTTGTACTATTGTTATTGATGAGGATCGCAGAAATACAAGACTGTGTGAACTAAGAATTTTCTTTCTAGACAAAAATATCCATCAAAATTAATTAGAGCTGTATACAAAAGGCAAAGGAAATACCCATTAACGAATTCAAACATGTAGAACATCACGAAGAGGAGAACAACGAAGGATTCCTTTTGTTAGACCCACAACCCAAAAACTGCCAAACAATTTTTCCCTATTATTCAACAATCAGAAACATTAAGGGACCTATGTAAACCAAAGGATATACTACACAGCAGGCGTCAACCTCCCAAATTGAAAAAATTGTTGCCACTGCAACACATGAAAAATTCCCGAGAAACCGAATATGGTTTCTAAGTGCGAGGATCAATGCGGAGAATTTTGTAGTTTTTTAAAACCGGACAACCGATTATTTTTAAAAAC